AGTTTTATTCATGCGATTTGTGTTAAAATTTATACGTAATTTTACCATTCATAAGAGTTTTCTGTAATTCATAAATTCTAGCAAATAAAGTAAACTGTAAGGTAAGCCATGTTTTAAGCGTTATCCATCTTAGTGTAAAATATCACCGTTTGTTATTTTTCGTTTAGCATCATAGCATACTTGTAGAGTCATCCGAATTCAATTGTTGTTTATTTCGTTTAAAATTTAAATTAAAAAAACGTATTATATTGTAAACACTGCAAATATAATGATATTGAAAGGCGCGCCTTTTCTTGCTTAGGCTTTTAGGCTATAAAATCAATCAAAAGTGTAACCCGGAAGTCTTACGACGTATTTTAACCCCTAGCGCCATCTGTGCTTCGCTTGCATGTTTTTATTTATTTTTAACTAAAATTGAAGCATAAGATCATACAGATAAAATGAAAGAAAACAAAATGATTATAAAACATTTATGTTGTGCTGTGGGTATGTTGTATTCCAATTACGAAACATGGCAACTTAAAATACATATTTAATAAACCAACAAAATATAACAAATAACATGCTAAACTATTCAAGTCTTATCAGAGCACCTATCCAGTGTTGGATATCTGCTCTTTCGTCGCAATAGAAAAATTAATTGGAGGATGGGAAGGGGGTGCTGCGTTAACATTAAGTTAAATCTCAGAATGTACAATAATTGAATATCAAAATTCAAGTCTGGGTAATGCATAACGAAAAAATCGCAACTTGATACATAATAATAGAAACAATTGGGTATACTATAGCCTACGTCACAGGTTGTGTTATTCCTACTAAATTTAACCCATGAATGGCATTTTCTGCGAGCCTAACTTCAAGTCACAAATAAACAAACGAAGTGTTTGATCGTTTAAATAGCTGCTCGCCAGATTTTATTGCATTATAAAGAAAAGTAATTGATATTCGATTTTTGATTAATAATTGACTTATGTGGATAGTGGCATTTATGTGGATAGTGGCATAGAATTTAGCATTGCGTCATGGTAAATGTTATTCGTACTAAGTGGAAGTAATTGTGTTTTTTTTTCATATTATACCCAATCGAAGTAAAAAAGAAAATTATTTACACTATATACAAGAGGGGAAGACTCCCTGTGCACTCCCTCGCCTCTCCCCGGTAGTCGGGCTTCATTGGTGCAGAGTGCACAGTTTGTCTTGATTCGCAGTAATGACAAAAGGTGACGTCGGCAGTCATCGCAACAATTTAAATTAATATTACATTAACTGAAGAAAAATGATAGATTTAATACTTACTTTAAGGATAAATCTAAGAGTGACTTGAGTCTGCAAATGCTGATAAATTTTTAGAATTTGAGATACTAATAAAACATTTTAATGGACACTTTCTTTAAAAGAACTGTGCATCAGGAAATTCAAGGCATGTTTTTTTTTCCATTAACATAGCGATTTATGGATGGGGTTTTCAGTAAAAATGAAAAAAATTGTCTCAAGCTGTATGCCTGCTCTAGTTCCGGTTAGAAAGTTTGCAGCTACTTACTACAAATTATTCTGCTAGGCGATATTTTCAAACGGATAATTTTATTTTCAATAAAAGAAATAAATTAGATAATTTCTGAGCTCAAATCTGCCGTATTTCATAAGATATTAATGTTATTATGTAATTCTGGTGAGTTTGAAGTGAAAATTTGTTTTAGTTATTTAGTTGTTGTTGTGAATTTACGTCGCACTAGAGCTTCACAATGGGCTATTGGCGACGGTCTGGGAAATATCCCGGAGGATGATCCGAAGACATGCCATCACAATTTTGATCCTCAGCGAAGGGGATGGTGCGGAGAGTATATACTAAAGTATCAATAATATAAACTTTAAGATTGGAAAGCACATGATATTACAGATTTTTTAAGAAACATTGTCTAGCATCTGAAATTGTTAAAAAATTAACGTCAATGAAAAAAAAAAGACTTATGAAAAGACTTCAGCTTTTAATAAATGCCTTAAATAAAATATAAAAATTAATAATAATTATGCCATTTATTTCAGAAATAATAATTAATAATACAAATTATATAATTTATTATTATTTATTACTTTTTCAGGAAAAAATTATCGCATATTCACCTGAAAAGGTATTGTTTATTTCAACAAATTGTAAACAAAAATTTCCATAATTAGTTGAAATTTAAAACAAACTAGCATTTTATACAGTTGGTAACGAAAAGTAAACAAATGCTACTTTGTAACGCGCATTGTAACATTGTAACGCGAACATTGTAACGCGCCAACATGTCAAAGTAATATCGCCAAACTCTGCACTTCTGAAGTTTTGATAAAAAGATGCTCAAATCTTAAAATTTATAAGTAATTTAGATAGAAATTATGTGCATTAAAAGTAAATACATTTATTCTTATCTAACCATTAGTTATTTCATCACCTTGTTCTCTTTACAATGAGATAAACATAACTTTATATGCACGCAAGTAAGTGATAATAAGGATAAATTCGAATAACTAACAACTATCCAAATTTTCAGCCATAATTTTAACATTTACTGTAACTGTGAAGTTTCTTATTGAAAAAAAGTAAGTAATGAACTTATTACATGCATTTATTAATACAGAACATAATTTTTTTGAGTC